TCATCCTATATTATTTTAATATCAAATATATCACCCATATTTCATTCATACAATTCATATATTTCATTTCTACCACTCATATTTAATATGAAAGTGAAATATAGGTTGTATAAATGTAATATTAAAATTTTAGCTGTTACATATATAAATAAAGTAGTATATAATGACATGTATGTAAATCCCCTTAAAAAATAATATAAATTAAGGCGATATATCAATGAATTTTAAGACAATAAAAAAAAGAAAATTATTTATTGAACTTCTCCAGCTTCATACATATCTTAAACGCCATAATTATCTCGGAGCATATTTTTGCATTCAAGAACATAAGAAATATTATTTCATACATGTTGTGTCGTGGAATATTCATGGTGATAAAGAAAAATAAAGTTTAATGTCTTCGCTTTATACGAAGATCCTGCACACAATCAGATAAAAGAGAGGGTGTAGCATTCATAAGAGACACAAGAGTTTTTACATAGAAATCCCTGAAAAAGGAGAAAAACCACGGGACCTAGCCTAATTTGAATGAATCCACTAATGCTTGCAGTAGATTACAATGAGGCTCTTCCTTGGAGGGAAGGCCTTGGTTTAATGTAGCAAATATACATCATATAGAGTGCATTATATACTAGGAATTGAAAGAATCAGTATTGATATGTTCGTTTGGTCGACATGACCATAGTCCACGGATGACAGAGGTCGAAAATAACGTAGTCGGGTGACTATGGTAAGAAGGATCATAGTCGGCAGGCGACGAAGGTCGGAAATACCGTTGTCAGGTGATGGAGGTCGGAATGACCATTATCGGCATTCGACGAAGGTCATAAAGATCGTTACCATAAGATGAAGGTCGGAAGTACCATAGTTGGCGACGATAAAGGTCAAAAAGAATGTTATCAGGCGATAGAGGTCGGAAGTACCGTAGTCGGAGGGCGACTGAGGTTGGAAAGACTATAGTCTGGCGATGGAGGTCGACAGAACGGTAGTGGACTGGCAACTGAGGTCAAAAAGATTGTAGTCTAGTAACGGAGGTCGGAAGGACCGTAGTCAGCAGGCGATGGAGGTCAGAAAGATGGTAACCTGATGACAGAGGTCGAAAGGACCGCAATCTAACGACGGAGGTCAGAAGGACCATTATCTAGTGCCGGTTATCAGGAGAAAGTTTGATGATAATCGGTATTCGAACGTCCAATAGTAATTGGTGGATGGGCAGAAGTTCGACAATGGTCGGTGGCCGGGCGTAAATCTTGCAATAGTTGGTGGCTAGGTATAAGTCCAATGAATGTCCAGTGATGGTTGGTGGTTAGGTGTAAATCTGGCAATATTTGGTGGCCAGGTGAAAGTCCTGTGACAATTGATGATCAGGAGTAAGTCCAACGACAGTTGGTGGTCGGGTGGGGGTCGACGAGAAGTTTGGTGGCAAGAGAGTTCTCAGATTTCTCTTCTCCTCCTCTCATTTTTCTCTTCCTTACCGACCCCCCACCGGTGCTTTGTTTTCAAATTATAATTATATTTTTGTTTAGCTACAACTAGTTGCTTTCTCGCTGCTTTTGAGAAATTTCTATCGTAAAAATTACTTTTTAGATCTATTTTGGACGATTGTCATGTTTTGTAAAGTTGTTACAGAAATTGTTGTATGTAAATCAACTTAGCTGCTTTGGTTGCAAAAGAAAATTTTTATTACAAAAAATTTTGAAAAATAGTAGTCAAATAGATTATGATTTTTATCTGAAAAACAAAACAACTAGAAAATTATCTCAAACAAATCTTATTAATGTATTGTAATTGTTCTATATATATATTAACAATAGTTTTCATAAATGTTATTTTTTTTTTCAGAACTTCACAATCATCTTTATAAAATATTATAGTCATCACAAACAAACCCTTCGCTTTTGACGTTATGCTGCAAGGAATTGAGCAAATGTTGATCAAACTTCTCAGACAAAATCGTTCCCTTTGATTAATACTCAATACAACAAATATAATGACACTAGAAAATCATTATGTGCAAAATAAAACCTGAATTTGATTAGATTGTAATCCAACAAAATAATTAAAACAGCTAAGCCATGAAAGCTGCAAACAAAAATAATTAATAGGCTAAACAGGCTCAACCTTCATGCAAAAATAACGTCCCTTTCCGTTTATTGTGTGGACACCGGACAGAACCCGTTTGACTGTACTTTTACTATAAACAAAGAGAAAATCAGACTGTTCTCTCAGTATGATATCCGCACATAAAAAAAAAAGTCCTTTCCACCCCCGGAACGATCCGGAAATGTTAGCCCGTTTAAAAACTACTAAGAAAATTCTTAGAGATAAGATCACGAATTCAAGACTTTTTTATTGGAAGTTTAAGCTCCCAAATCCCAATCAATAGACATTCATGTGCAGTTTTTATGTTAGAAGTCAATTCAATTAATTCGTGCTTAAGATCTGCTGGTCATCCAACTATACATAGTTTTCTGTTTTGTTTTGATTTTTTTTTTTTTTTTTGAAATGATTATTTTCCTCTAAATTAATAAAAGAAAAAGTTTGAATAAAAATGATTTACTTTAAAATGTATGCTATACGTAGCATTACAATTCTACAAATGTCGATGGCAGGGCTTTACCGCTACCGCGTCGGCGACATCCTCATGGTGACCGGATTCCACAACTCAGCCCCCAACTTCCGCTTCGTCCACCGCCGCAACATCGTCCTCAGCGTCGACACCGACAAGACGAACGAGGAGGACCTCCTCCTCGCCATCACCGCAGCAAAGCCACTCCTCGCACCCCTCGGCTGCCTTCTCTCCGAGTACACAAGCTATGCCGACACCTCCTCAATCCCCGGCCACTACATCCTCTTCTGGGAGCTTAAGTACAACAACGCGGCTACTGAGCTCGACTCGGCGGTCATGGAAGCTTGTTGCTTGATGGTGGAGGAATCGCTCGACTGGGTGTACCGGCGGTGCCGAAGCCGAGACCGTTCGGTGGGGGCGTTGGAGATCAGAGTGGTGCGGGCTGGCGCGTTCGATGCGCTTATGGATCTATGCTTGACCAATGGGTCGTCGGTGAACCAGTACAAAACGCCGAGGTGTATTAGCTCGCCGGAGGCAATCGCCGTGCTTGATGGGAGAGTGGTGGGGAGGTTCTTTAGCCGGAGTGCGCCGCACTGGGAGCCCTTGCGGGTTGGAAAGACCTGAAATTTATAAGTTTGACCGTTACTGTGTCGCTTGTGTATTAGATTAGTGCGAATTATACTGGTAGCTCTATTCAATTTAGCAGTACAGAGATGGTGAGCTTCTGCTTCGCACGCTGCTGTGAACTCTCATTTTATGAACGTAGAGCTACGTATAAGATTGTTAGTTCAATGATGTACTCGCTGTAATGTGTAAGTAAATATTACGTATCCTCATTTTATGCCCATAACTTCGTCTTTGCTACCAATATTTGGACTCAAATAATTTCTCATTGGATTTGACTGTTTGACAAGAATATCTGATCAAGAAGGAGAAATTATTATGTACGGCCGCAGGACGCAACTCTACGTCCGGATGCTGCGATACCGATCGGTACCGAGCGTCGGTACCGGTACCGAGTACCAAACAGTATGAAGCCACAGTACAATAAAAGAGTGACGTGATGTATTTTATTGGTCTCTGGCATAGCCGAATCAAATGTCTAGACAAGATGAATCCAACGAGCCCATGATCGTCGAATTATGATATCACTAAGACATTTAAATGCTCAATAAACAATCTACGATCAAGATTGATCATCCATTCAAATCACTCACAATTTAATTTCCTATTCATTTACATTTTTTTCTTGATTGATATTATCTAATCCTATATTGATTCGATCTTAAAGAGATTTTATAATTTTTTTTTTGTGCAATGAGATTTTTAATATCACATATTTAGTTAATATATTTTTAATACAATTTTAAACATTTTCTAACAGAAATTATATTTTGCTCATTCTAAAAAAGATATTAATTCTGCCCTTCTTATATAAAGTAGAGTAGCGACTGGATTCTTTGGCAACATTTCAAGCTTTCATGATATGTGTTGTATCCAAATGTGTTCTTGGATGACACCTGACCTTAATAGTAAGTAATCCCAAGAGACAATAAGCTAAGAACTTAAAGTGAGTATGGAAAGAAAAGAAAAAATTTGGAGAACCTAGGAAAAGATTAAGGAAAAAAAAAACTCTGATATATCAATAATGCTCCAAAAGCTCTGAATTGTGCAACTTCTTCCTTTATTTATAGAAATCTAAGGGCTACAGAAACAGCTACACTAAAAAATATAAAATGTACAATATTAATTATGATTTGTTGTGGATAATACATGACACGTGTTGTGATCGGTTAAACACCCGTGCGGCTTTTTAACTTCATCTCACTCAGACTCAGAGCGAGTTTGTTGGGTGAGAATTTGAGGGCAACTGAGTAAGGAAGATCTCCTTGGTGAGATGATGAGTTGATGAAGTGAGTCCTTTAGGTGAGCTAGCAAGTCTATAGGGATAATTCTAAAACCGTTAAATGTGAAGGGCGAATTCCTTCGAATTATAGGTAAGAGCTAGCCAAATTTAAAGGATCGGACCGTTAACCTTCTGTCATGTGTAGAAAATATTGATACAAGTAGTATAAGCATTAGCAAAGCAAGCTGTAGAAACAGATAAAGCTGTATGAGGACATAAAGCAGAACTTAGAGAGTTGGAGTTAACTCATTTTTGTGTATCTATCAATTAGTGAATATATATATATATATATATAGAAGATAAAAGAGTAAACTTCCTGATACATCCAACGGCTGAAATAACGAAGGTTGGTTAGAGACCAACGATAGAGATTAAATCAACTGAAGCAGTGGCAGAGGATCAGACTAGTGGATTACTGTAGCTTGCTTTCCTGATGCTGTCGTATAATAATAGAAGGTAGTGGATGCTGTAATACTGTTATCAGGCCCCCTTAAATTGATGATCCAAGCATTAGAGAGTCAGTTTATCTCTAAGGAGTAGAAATATAAAATTTGACAGAGATTTTGCAAAAATATCATTAGGTTGATCAAGTGTAGAGATGTGATAGACCAAGACGGTTTGGTTTTTAATACGCTCTTTAATGAAATGATGATCAATGTCAATATGCTTCGTTCTAACATGAAAAATTGGATTATGACATAAAGCAATGGTTGATAAGTTATCGCAATATATAGGTGTAGGTTGCAGAATAACAATTTGAAATTTAAGAAGTAATCAACGAAGACAGATAAGTTTAGTTGCAACTGCTGTGAGAGCACGATATTCATCTTCAGTAGAAGATCTGGCATTGGTAGCTTGCTTTTTGTAGCCCATAAAACAAGAGTTGAGCGGAGAATGATACAATATCCTATTGTAGATTTGTGATCCTTAGTATCATAAGCCCAATCGGTGCCAACAAATGTCGGAGAATAGAAGCCTTTTGTTACTGGTAGACCAAGATATAGTGTGCCCTTAAGATAATGTAGAATACATTTGAGCATAATATGCAGAGACGGGTTAGAAAATGGAGAGCAAGCATCATGAGAAGTGACTGGTTTAGTGGATGTTCGATTGGAAATAGACTTATAATTTACCATGCCAGCACGGTTAAATTTTGATAGACTTATAATGTTTTCAATGCCAACACTAATGTTTGCTATCATAAATACCAACATTAAACGTCAATATCAAAGTGATAATCAAACTAAAAAATGAATCCAAATACCTTATTCTGCATCATCTCTAACATAACCTACATCAAATTTTGACAATAATAATCTCCCCAATGGAGATAAAATCGCAACTTTGAAATATAGTGAAAATTTCTTTCAAACTAAGACAATCAAATCTTCAAGAGGAAGACAGAGCTCTGATGCAAAGATTAAAAATCTTAGGTGTTATTCACAACTCCGCCTATAGGCTGGTTCAGTATTCCAGATATAGAACATATTGTAGCTTATAAAAGAATAATGCATCGCAAATATTATATGGGGTCAAGGCTCTTTTAGGAGTTGAATCTATAACTTATAAAGAATAGATCTTGTTTTTTTTTTCCTATAAGAACAACAACAACAACATCAAGCCTTTGTCCCACTATGTGGAGTCGGCTACATGAATCCTTTTTTCCATTGTGTCCTGTTAAAAATCGAATTCTCGGTTAAATCTAATAAAGAAATACCATTTTTAATATTTTATAAACAAGTCTTTTTAAGTCTACCACTACCTTTCTTAACATAAGTCAAATCTAATACCTCTACTTTCCTAACTGGGTCATCAGAAGGCCGCCATCTTATGTGACCAAGCCATTTTAGTCGACTCTCTCTAATCTTATCTTCCACTAGCACTACTCCAACCTTTTCACGTATATGCTGATTTCGTACCCTATCTCTAAGGGTAAAGCCACTCATCCACCTGAGCATCCTCATCTCTGCAACAATTAACTTAGTATTATGTTTCTCTTTTAACGGCCAACATTCGGCACCATAAAGCATTGCAGTTCTCACCACCATCTTATAGAATTTTTTCTTAAGTTTGAGGGGGACTTTTCTATCACACAACAAGACCGATGCATTCCTTCATTTCAACCATCCAACTTGAATTCTGGTGATAATATCCCCTTCTATTTCACCATCACCCTGAACACCAGATCCAATATATCTAAAATGTGTACCCTTATTAATGACTTGATCGCCCAAGTCACAATCCCTCATTAGGTCTATTACTACTAAAATTAAACTCCATATATTCAGTTTTAGATCTACTCTAGCAAAAACCTGTAGACTCTAAGGTTGCCCTTGATGTAAAACCACGTGCAAAGGAGCTTGTTTAAGAAATTTTAAGAATAGTTGACAATGAAATATCAATTAATAACTTATTGAAATAACAAGCAAATTCATCAAAGAACCTTAGTCTTCAACTAGCTTAGGCGAAGAAGTACACATAGATTAACCAAAACTCCTAGGTAACCAAAGATAGTAGCAATACCAAAAGCTATTAATTAACAATCCGCAACTTAATAATGAGAATTTTCATCTTGGGGATGGATCACTCAACTACACTAGGCTTAGCGGAAGAAGGTCTTTAGTATACCCAACGATGCCACGAGGACGGTAGCAACCCCAACGGCTTGGAACCTCGGAAAGGTTGACGGTGGCGAGGATGGCGGGAGTGATTGACTATAGATGCTCCAATCATAGTTTGGAAGTCGGAGGTCGATGACGCTTGCAAGCATAGGGACAACTCGATCCAAATAATCCCCAACAGTGCGTCGTCTTCAAATCCCACGTTGAAGAACGGAGATCGTAGGATATTGAGATTTCCGTCGGCGTCGAACACAAGTCCCAATTCAAGTTCTGGATCTGCCATGCATGCTTGAAGTTGTGAGAGAATTCCAATGAGAAGGGGAGAGATGTGAGGTGGTGAGGGAGAGCACTTGTGGTTCGTAAGGAAGGAAGGGGGAGAGGAGAGGGGCGGCGGGATTCCCAATGGGAGAGGGGGAGGCCGGCGGGTGCAAGGGGGATGGGCTAGGGTTTGGAGAAAATTAGGTTTAGTGGAGTAGTTAGGGGATTAATCAAAATCTGAATTTTAATTTCAGTTTTGATTAGATTGGGAGGGAAATGACTTGAATTTTGAATTTCAAATCATAGGTATTAATGTATTAAATGGGAGAATTAAAGAGGGGAGGTAAGAGGGGAGGCCGGCGGTTATGAAGAGAGAGGGAGGAGGAGTTTTTACATAAATTCTGAAACTAATTTCATAATTTGAAATTTTGGGAGGGAGATTTATTTGAAATTAATTTTAATTTCAAATGGGGGAGGGGTTTAATGTGGCAATTAATGAAGGGGGGAAGCCATGAGAGGCCGGCGGGTTCAAGAGGGAGAGGGGAGGAGGAGGGAGCAAGTTACGAACCTTCCAAATTTGCTTGTTTGCATTAGAAGGCTTGATTATGCACTCCACTTCAATTTGAATTTGAAAACTTTTCTAGTTTGGCTTTGCCAAATTTGGAAATTTTAGAACTCAATCAAATTTGAACAAGTGGGGATGGGGGAGGAGGCTGGCGGTGGAGAGGCTTGGGAACGGGTGGAGGAGGTGGGGTGGTCGGCGGCCAAGAGGGGACTAGGGCCGGCGGGTTGGGGAGAGGAAGGGGATCGGGATGAGGGGATAGACCACGAGTCACGGACTCTTCCAATGACTGGTGGGTAGCTTTTCGCCCTCACCTTGGGCTCTCGTTCTCCTCTCTAGTGCACCACAAGAAGAAAAATAAAAAGATAACAAACAAGATTTTCATTCAAAATATTCATTAACCCATTACAAAAGAAATGACCCATATATATAGGTCTCGACATACAAGAAGAAATAAAGACCAAATTACCCTCAGGGCCCAACATGACTCAACTCAATAT